TAACACAGGTTCACTCCAGCTTTGCGGTGAAGGGAAATCTTGATAACACGATAGTCGATGCTTAGCCAGCCTAAACGCTGCGCCGTATCTCACGCAGGTACCGTTTACGCTCACAATGTGTGAAAATAATGAGCCGAAGATAGAGGTCACTGTTGGCCGCTTGCACGGCAGTAAAGATTGCCGAGCGATAAGACGGACCCATTGCTGGCCGCTCGCTCGAGCAATTGTATTGCAGGCCGTTTGCACGGTAACATTGCCTGCCGCTAGGACGGCGCTTCAGTTGTTTGCCGCACGCACGGAAGCTTTAGGCTTATGTCGACCGCTTGTACGCTAGCCCTTATAGGAGGACCGCTCGCACGGCGCGAATCCCTGAGTATGTTCCTAAGCTGATTTTTTGGCTTAACACGTTTCGGACCGATGCTGCACATGGTGCAGCACGATACTTTAAAGGATCGTTTTGACGTTTACAGGAGGTCTTCTTTTAGTCCAAGAGTACCAAGTCAAAGGCCAAAGCTCCCACTTTCCAAATGACTCTATAAAGCTGTGCCGCCATTAGTTTTTTTAGGAGATATGAGGACAAATCGAACAACAGTTGCAACGTGCGGCAACGCGAACACCGCGTGCGACGTCGCAACTTTTCTTTGCTTAGATTTCAAAGACAAAACCCCAAGTTTCAATAGTGATGTGTACAGTGTACAACATAGATATTTCTGAATACTATTAGAAACTGAGTGCTTGTTCCTTTCTTTCAAGGAAGCACGGAAGTCACTCTCAAGCAGCAAAATTCAAACACTTTAATTTCACTCAGAACTTTGGGTATGGAGCTTATCTGATATGCTGATTATAGATGTAGCCCACAGCCTACGAAATGAGGTCCCTTTGTCGGCTAACGGCTGAAAGTATACTCTTTTTCGCCGCGCGCGATTTCGCGGTCTGAAACGTGTTAAGGAGCAGTCATGTTCATCAGAACTTTAGCTGGCTTTCAAAACTCATTCTAATCTTTTGATATGGTTTTAGCCATCAGAAGGCGATGCTTTGCATTGTAGAACTTTTGGACGGTTCCTACAATGTTTGAAAGTTCCAGAAACCTTCACTTTGGTAAGAAAGGATAACGTATTACCAAACAACAAATGTTTTCAGAATTCGAAGCCATCCGTAAAGCTCAATGAGCTATCCTCGCTATATGTTTGATATCCTGGAGACAACAGCGCACATTAACTAAGAAGTGTGGAAACTGTATTTGCACAATTTGCGAAATCGCGGAAAAAGTAGCTTTCACAGAGCTTAGGACTTCTTCATCATACTAATCTCAAAGCTCTGGATGAACTGTACATGGGTATACGTCACTTCAAGAATGATTCCAGGAAATTAGAAAGTAAGCGAGATGTTTATTAACTGTTGTATTGCAATAAGATGGCTCCACGGAGTGTCGAATATCATGCAAATATTGAACAATATCAAACTATACCAAACTAAAGTTGGAATAGTTAAAAGCAAATGGTCAAGACACCAACGACCATCTGAGCAATCATTGTAATAAAACAAGTAGATACAAGGAAAGGTTAGTTAAATAGTTTAAAAAATGATATGTATGCTGGCATTGATAACTCCTTTTCGTTCCTACTCTTAAGCAGGATGATGTTTTGGTATCGACCCTACCGGAACTCTTCAGTAAGGAGGGAATGCCAAAGAGAACCAAAAAAAAGGAAAAGAACTATGTGATATCCTTGTCCGAATCATACAGAGGAATTGATGAAGTGTAAAAATTTAATGAAATGTTGCTTGCGTACCACAATAATACGGAGAACAACTTAGGAACACAATTGTTAGAAAGAGCATAGAATACTTCACGCGATTTCAGTCGCGACACGATTTGGCAGTATTCCAACTCTCCATAACTCATTGTAAGCACAGTTTAAATGTACAGAAGATAGGGCGTTGTATCAATCCACTCAAGTTATGCACACTATGCATGCGCAGTTTGCTGTTGTTGGATCTGAAGACTTCTGGCGACGTGCCAAATCGCGCTCGCGACTGAAATCGCATGAAGTATGCCCGGCCCTTAAAGCTGCGTTGGACTTTTCCTGTAATGTTTGTTTGCAGTTCTATGTAATCTGCGGCAGCAGAACAAGGAAAGTTCCTTGTGGAAGGAGCTTCCAAAATTTTTTCTACATGCAGTTGATAGATGACGGGCCTTGGTTACGTCTTTCAAAGATCCTGGATTTTTGAATTTTCACCGCTTATCCTTAAGATCAGAGAAATATTCGAGAGAATCTTTTTTTGAAGTTATGGCTTTATTCCGGAGATTATTTTTTCACTTGAACTTGAAAGCAGATTTTTGCATGACTTTACCTATATAACTAGCAGCCAGTTTTTATTCAGATGCCTTACCTTCAGATACAGGAAAAAAGGCCAGGCTTTTGCTTTGCTGGTTCAAGACCAGAGAACACACCGCGGACAGTTCACCGAGCGTTCTTTGTTTTTGTTTTTGATGCAATTACGCAAACAGTTTCTAGTCACATTGGGTTGGGAATGCGACGATGAGGAAGAGACAGAGCTGGGCTTGTCGTTGACATCACCTTCGTCATTGTCTTCTCTCTACGCATGATCAAATATCGTGATTCGTGTCGAGTCACCTGCGATCTTCAAAGATTGTCTCGCTCATGCTATTCGTCATTTTTATTCGTTTAAAAACCTCAGAATCCTTTTCTGGTATGGGTTTGACATTATTCAGCCAAACCTATGCCTATACATTTTTTGGGCAACACTGACAATGTGGGGGACTTCCAAATCATGATAAGAATCTTTTTATCATGTTCAATAAAAATTCTACGCCTCGAAAGTATTCATTTTTATTTTGGACCTATGTTCTTTTCAAAGTAGGAGAGGCTGGACTATTGTTAGTTAGATTATTGTGTAGCTGCTTCCTTATCCTGTTCAATTCGTCTTTTTCTTCTCCATTATTCTTTTTTTGGTCAACTTTCCTTGATTTTGCGAGTGTTGAATCACAGCATTCATATGAGCTTGTTAGATCAAATAAAATGATTTGATGTACCGAAGATGAGTTAGGAGAGATTGATCCAAACAATAAGAGAAATGGCAGACTTTCTGGTATTATGTTTCAATGTCAATCACAATTCTAATCTCTCAAGTGCTTTGCTGTAGGATAAAAATCAACGACAAAATGTTTCAGTGACTCACGCCTTTCTAAAAAGAAACGTTATCGTTCTTAAGACTTTCATCGAAACCCTCCGCGAGCAATATTTGGCGAATGGAGAGACCGATACTGCGTATAAAATCCTTCGCTGATGGCTAACAAACCACCTTTCTTCTTGTGATATTGTGTTTACCAACAACTAACATTATTAAAAATTTGTTTGATTCAATATAGAGTGCAGTAGCTTCAAAACTTTTGAAAATACTTTTCAAAATTTTGAGATGTACTGTACCGTGAATCGCTGTAATGTCAGTAGTACAGTGAAGTGCTTGTTATATTTTAAAAGTTGATGGAAAAAAGTTATAATGCTGCGGTTTTCTCATGACATGAATGTCCACTGCAATCCTTTTTTAAGAAAGTTAGGGACACGTCCATTACTAGATTGTAAGCTGCGTGCCATATTACTGGTAGTTGTTACAGGTTTGTTACTTTAAGAATATAAAGTGTAAATTAAGAGTACTAGTTCATCTTCGTTTGACCCCAAACGAAATTTTTAGTGATTTTCTCAAACGAGGTGATCGCTTAACCAAATAGAAAACTCTTATTCTGTGGGTACATGTTCGGAGCTTGGGAGCTTTTTGGTATGTTTTTTCGGTCCGTGGTCTCAAAAGAAGAAGCCTTCTCATTGTGTAGAAAAGTTTCCTTACATCGAAATTTCTTAACCAAAGGTTAGTAGCAGTGTTGTCCGCAAAGGATCACATGAATTCGGCGTGACAAATTTTATGAAATTCACAGCGTTTGCGGGATTTGGTTAAATTTATTAAAATAGATGTTTCTGCTCTAAAAGAAATTTTTTCTAGCTCGCTGAGCCACTTATGTTACCGTAACCGTAGGAGGTAAGCATGAGGTTACGAGCGGGTATTCATGGCCCATTATGGAAACCTGAACGCGGAATAATCACGTCCCTCAACATATCTACCATATCTCGGTCAATTACTACAATAGGTCTTCAGAAAAGATCTGCCTTGACGAAATCACTGTAAATGACTTTCAGGGCTGAATTTATTTTATGGCCAGATCGCGCAAATTTCGAAGACATAACGTGTAGTGATTGTGCACGAGCAAATCAACTAATATTGATTCCTGTAGTACATGCCTTATAGTCTTAATCCGTTGTACTCAATTTCCACTTTTTTATCATAAAAGAGAATGGCCTATCATTCATTTCTGTGCTCTCATAGCGCTCTCTAACCGTCCTGTACGACTCTGAAATTTGTTGTTTGTTCTCGCTCATGCAATTTCGTTGAATAGGGGCTATGGATCGTACTTTTTAAAAGTTCACTCTGAAAAGGAAATCAAAACATCCGTTGTTTGGATTCTGCCTTGATTATTTAACAATCTTCACCAAATCGTGCATTTTCCACTGCGGAACTTCCGAGCAGACATTGCGGCGTTCGCCGGTCCTTCACGTTTCATTTGATACCTAAAACCGGTTTCTCAATTATATTGCCTGCTACCTTGCTGCCGGTTAAAGGAGCTAGTAAGCTACTGCTTTACTGCAGAAAACAATGCTTTTTAGTCGTTTTACTTTTACTGCTTTCTTGTCGATGCCATTGCGTCCAGCAGCCTCAAAGCACCTGGCTTTAGCATGTTCTAAACGTTTGCTTGTTTTTCTTATTGCAATTGCCATGATCCCAGTATCTTTCTGCGTTCCAGACACCACGTTCATGAAAAAATTGACAGATGTGTCTTGCAAGGATTGATCTCCAAAACATATACGAGGCATTTCTTATCTCTAATGACTATCACCTCATTGCTTAAGTCATTCACTCCGATTAACTCTTTCTGTTCACATTATGCTAAAATTACAACTCTCTAAATCCTATTTTTAGATGAGAATACCTTCGCAGTTATTGTGCTCCATCGAAAACTTGGGTATGTTGGAATGTCATTTATTTCTAAATTTCTACATTTACTCCATAATCAATGTTTGATACTCTTAAGAAGTTTCTATCACATTGAAGCATGAGTCTTTTGAAAATTAAATTCCATCGTACAGGCTGATCTTTTCAAAAAGGCTAGGTTATTAAACTTCATAGGCAGAAAAATTAGAACTGCTGGACTTTTCGGCACTTTCAATGACAGAAATCCATAAAATTAAATGTTTTTATTGGCTTTTATTGCAGCGATATCGCAACAATAATTTTTAAGCACTTCTTGAAGGCGCATTTTCTTTCTTCTAACTTGATTTGCATCGAACTGATCCAGTAATTTGGAAGAACTCACACATTAAAATTTTGGTGTAAGCTTGTTTCGATCTAGTAGATTCGTCTAGCATGGCATTATGCATTCTGTTCTTTTATAAACACCTACAACTTTATATCGTGCTAGATAATCCGTGCCATCAGAACTAGGATCAGAATTCAGCATTTTTTTCATTTGATTTGCAAAGGTGCACTTTGGATTATGAAAATAGTTTGCCATCGCTTTTTCCAGCTTTAGACTTTGGTAATTTGGACTATATTAACTTGTCCTTGATTCAGATAAAAAATTACGAGATTTCCATGTCATTTCACTTTAATCCTTCCCAGAAATTTTTCCACTTTTAATTCTAGCGCTGTTGTCCCTTCGGAATGCCTCAACAGCCGGGATCACCACTACTGCTGCTGTGAATCGTGTTTATTCCCCTCCACGACGGCAATTGACTGTTCAAACCAAACCTAGGATCGAGACAAGAACTCTGGAAACGCAAAAACCAGAGCTGATAATATTTGACAAGGATGGTACATTGATCTGCTTTCATTCGATGTGGATACCATGGGCTGTGGACACAGCAAAAAGGTAGTGAGTTATGACCGAAATTTTTTTTATTAGGTTGGTGCAAAAATAATGCGCGTTTTGTGAGTTCTCAATTTGACGTGTTATAACTTTCTAGAAAATCTACATTTTTCAATGCGGTAAAAAACGTTAGAGCCTCCAAACCTTTCGCAATCTTTCGCACATCCCCCTAAACTCATATCACCAACGGGCAGAAAAATATGGATTAATTAGCAAAAAAGTTTTTTTTTTCTGAAACTTCGTTCTTAACTTATTATAACTTTCTTCAAAATTTGTCATAGATACATAATAAGTAGCCCGTATTGTAGCCGGAAGCCAGTAGCACAAAAAAGTTGAGAAGGGTTCAAACAAAGAGGATTTACGAAAAGAAAAAAATTAAAATCTAAAATTGTTCGCTTTTTAGGCATTTTTTCGCAGGCTTAAAAATCCCAAAATATGGAGTTCCATTGATTTTCTGCGTAATGAACAGCTACACAATTCTGTAAAAACTGTCATTAAGAGGCCCACCCTTACGCTTAGAGAAATAACAAAGCTTTGGCGATTGCCTTCTTCAAAAGAAATTTATGGGTCACCGCATGTTGAGACGCCGAAATCTCAATCTAGGTAATTTCTGAGAAAGTAGTAAAATGCGCACAATGTAGACAACCATTTAATACAATAGCTAGAGTTTTTAAAGTTTGCCTTTATTCGGGCTTAATTTGGCTAGAAAAGTAATTGCGATGAAATTCTGGTTTCGAGTGCGGTTGTGTGAACCTCTATTATTTTTTAACTAATGAAGCTGGAAGCCCGTTTTACCCATGTTTTACACCGTTTTACCGATAGAGAATGAAAGGAGCTTCTTGATAGTCTGCTAAGTTTTTTCCAAAGAAGAAAGTCTTATGGAGAAAAGTTGTCCCAAAACAAGGGTTAGAAAAACGCGCATTACTTTTGCACCAACCTACATAATAGCAGCCGACATTAAATACATTTCATTCCTTACAAGAACCAGCGTATCTTTCAATTAACGGCTTTTATTGTACTCTTTCGGTGCCGATAGCAATTGCGCATAGAATATGGCCATCGGGCGAAAATGTTTAGACTGAGCCGCAGCTATTTCTTTTTTGGCTAACAATTTTTGTAAACGCAACATCATCGTGCCAACGATGAGTCTTTTGAAAAGCCCTTATGATAAATTGTAGTTACCACGGTTACAAAGACAGTTTCCCTCAAGAAACATTTAGATTTTTACCTGAGGATTACGATTTTTTTTACAGATTTGCTAGAAACTTCTAGAAAAGATCCAGCCTGGTGATTGTGTTCACTTCTGATAAAACCATGTTTCAATTTCTGATCACATCCGTGCGTGTCTTGTATGGATGACCTTGACCATAGCACCCCCGACGACCACAGCCTTGAAAAACATGTTCTTGAAGAGGGTTGCTGGGCGTTAGCGTTTCAAAGAAATTTACAGTCAAGCTTTGACGCTTCAAATCAAAGAATTTTTTTGCAGATCAATGGGCGAGCGATGAAGTGTAGGAGGAAAAAAATAGAATATTACAATTGTTTAGCTCTTTGGAACGCTGAATTCTTAAGTCCCAGTGAAACATCCTTTTTAAAACTCCTCATAAGGTCAGGGTCTGGAAAGCAAAGCCTAGGGCATTTTCTCAGACCGAGTATGTATCCTTGACTAGCATGAAAAAGAAGTACCCTATTTTCAGGTGTATAAGCCGCACCCTTTTCGCTCTAAAGGCGAACACGCCAAAAGACTGACTGTCACCATGGAGCGCGTTAAGTGAGAGCAGTATGCGATAAGGCGACCGCTTCGCGAGACATATGCGCGGCGGCACGCCTGGGTCTGCTCGCGTTTAGAGCAAAAAGGGTGCGGCTTATACACCTGAAAATAGGGTAGCCCATGATAGTTAGATGCATGTGAATATTTCGACTCGTACATAGTTCTAAAATTTATTGAAATTTGAAAATGCGAATCAGCTTTGCATAAATAAGTTTTCCTGGAGTTGGTCGTACTCTTTTTTTCAGATTTCAACATAATCCCACGAAATGTGGAAAGCATCTCAAACATTTTGCAATAGCGCGGCTAACGCCACCTCTTCATTCGAAAAAAAAAGTTTTATTGCGCCCCCTTCCCCACGACTTAAAAAAATTCCATTTCCATTAATTACATGGCATATTTGTTGGACAAGTAGTTTCCAGATTAGAACAAGCTACTGGACTACCGCTATCGCGTCAAATTTACAAATTACTTGGGCTTTCGCCTGCAGAAGGAAAGGTGATTAAAGATTTCTTATCGTCCTGATTAGCCAATTTTTCCCATTCAGGTGAGACCAGGACTTTTAGCCGAAGGGACCATGGGTCAAATCAAGCACGAACTTCAGAAGTTACTTATAAGAAATGGACGTGGCAACGCCTATGTAATTTTTGCTTTAATTGATGTGGATTTGCTCAGACAGGAAATTACTCTAGGAGTTTGGCATTATCGACAAGTGTATACAGGACAGCCACTTACGATGTCCATCGAGTTTTCAAGCTATACGGGACATGCAGTTGTTGTTTAGTGTACTGAAAGATAATGATGTTAAGACTGCTGTTTGCACTGCAGATAATAGGTGAGACCTGAAAGCCGTATGCAACCTCTTTCGTTCAAGAAAGGCTTGTTTTGTACTTTAAAACTGGTCGAGTATCCGCAGCCATATTAGTCACGCAAGAATTTGGCATTTTGCCAGCTAGAGTTGTGGGGAACGAGTAGAGACCAGACACGGTCCTGCCACGACTAAGCATATCATGTCAATTTTCAGCCACGATTGAATCAAACGATATACTATTTTTTGGTCACTATTTTTACTTCTTTAGGGTAAACACCGTTGCAATGCTGCGAAGGTTTGGTGTCGAAGACTTGGTAGATGTCTTAGTTTGCGGTGATGATCCTGGATCAAAGCCAAAGCCGCATCCTCGTAACGCTAGTTTTATTTGCCAAGCCACGAACACGCCTCCAGAGGTACATACAGAACATCTTATCTGACTCACTTGTCAGATCAATTCTGAGAGATCAAATCAGAGATTTTAGAGTGCGGTAATGGTCGGCGATACACTGGCAGACTTGGGTATGGCACGAGCTGCAGGTTTAGGTGCAGCCGTTGGTGTATTATCGGGTGTAGGATCACTAGAGTATTTAAAATCACATGCTGATATACTGGTAAGTAACACTAATTTTCTAGGGCTGCCCGTGCCAGCGTCGGACGACTGGTTGCGCGTTGGCGTCTCGTTCGATCTGCGGGGCGCGTCCACTGGGAGCTGGCACGGCGCTGGCACAGTGGCAACTCTCGACGCAAAAGCTTTCTGTATTGTGGTCGCGAACCACCTCTTTGCAGGTTCCAGATGTCGGAAGCCTTCTGACTATGTTTCTTGGCATCGACTATTTTCCAAACAACTAGCTACCAGACGAGGGCTTGTACAAGCACGAATTTTACTGCATAGATCTCGAAGATGAATAGATATCAAAATTCTCAGAACAACACAAACAGCGAAAAATAAATTATTTACTGTGACAAGAAAGAATGACACATACAAGATATATGGATATCAAGGGAAAATACAGCAGTTTTCTTTTTGAGAGAAATTGGAATGAAGGCTTCTAGGTAACCATCCACTCAACAGCGCTACATACGATGATACTGGAGCATCTACAATAATCCGTAACTAATGATTTTTGTTTCATAATTACTTTAATAGCAGGTAACATGTCAGGCAATGTGCGATCAAAAAATCTCCCTTGGTACCCAAAAAGCCCACACAGGAAACAGTATCAAATAAAGCAGACTCTCAGCGCAAATTGCAATAAACTACATATATATGTATAATTTCAGATTGAAGGTAATATGTCCGTAATCACATCACTTGCACATAGCTCGCCGGGAATAGACCAATCTGAAAACAGTAGTAAATTTAATGGGTACACATTAATAGCAAAAAAAGAATAGACTCTTCAAAACTAAAAAGAAATTTGTGAAATTTCTGAAAGCCGTCTGGCAATGAGCTGTAGTCTAATTTACGCCTAAACAATAGGCGCCGAGATATAGTGATTTGCAGTAAGCCGATCACTCGAGCTTTTCCCACAGTTTGCCCTAGAGAAGATCTTAAGCGATATGCTCATCTATCTTTTATACAGGGTAAGCCGGTAAGAATGGGTGTTACAGCATATAATATGCATTTTTTCTGAAATATTATATCATGGGCCAATATGCGGTAAGCTCAGGCACTCACTAAATCAGAGACAGTGTCCACTCAAATTTTCGCTTTCCATGTTTTTGCCATTATGGGGGTCCGTGCCCCTGATTATGGATATGAAATGCAAAATGTGCAAAACCCCCCTAAAAAACTCGATTTGGGAACCCTATCTTAAAACACAGACGATCGATACTTGGGTGGGCGGAGCTTGATAGCGCGGGCGTGGCTTGATAGCACTATTGGAAGTTTTAGGTTCATTATCTCCATTGAAAGACAACATTGGAGGACTGGACCAACGCAGATACCCCTCTCCTGAGCCTACATTCAGACTAGGTGCTAATCGGAGGGCTTTATTTGCCTGCTTTCAAGCTATAGAAGTGCGCGAACTGAAGTCTTGCAATAGTAACGGGATTCCGGAGTGTGCTTCAGAAGGCGCTGCGCTTCAGTTACCAACATGTTTATAGTACCGTACTTTATTTGAGAAAGGGTTACTGCAGTGTACTAATTATCTCTTCAAAATCGCATGTCTTAAAATTTACGTTTCCTGATCGGTTCGCCACGGAGTAACGGGTACACTCTTCACATAGCGTTTTTGACGCATTAGCTTCGGAATAAACTGCTGAATTGTGTTTGCGCAGGAGCCCAACCTTGAAGGGGTAACACATTAAGATGCCTCTGTTGACATGAATAATGATCTACAGAACCTGAACCTCGTATTTTTCTAGAATTTTGCAGTTTTGGCCACCCTGAACATTCAAAACAGAAGGTTTGTAAATGTCTGCATGTGCACATGACCTGTATATGTGACCCTAAAGACGGCGTTGTATGTGTACCGATTGGAATGAAACTTTGCACTCATGTGTTTTCGATGCCGCCGGTCATCATAGGCTAGTGGAGATTCACTGGATCTTGCTATCGATTTAACATGAGGGACGAGCGGTGTAGTGGTATGGGTACGTATCAGGAGCCACGATTTTTCGCGAAGCGACGCCGCAACGCGACTTTAAGCAGTACAGGCCTCAGCTCCGGTCAGTACTCCTGTCGCAATGTTACCTAAGCCATAGAGTCATGTATCTGCCGCCACCCTCCCCCCCCCCCTACTATGGCGCCGTGCCACTTTAGCACCGGGAAGTTCTTGTGAGGCGCAAAATTTGGGCGCGGGGAGAGACCGCCGCTGGTATGACCCCTGACCCGGAGCCCAGTGGTATGAGGCGCCGCTACCACGAGATCTGACACAGGTTCGATCCACGCCCCTGGGCCAAACAAGCCCTCTACCCTCCGGGGCGGTAAATTGGCATATCAGAGTAATTTGGGAGGGTAAAAGCACTGACTTGTTAATTGGTTCGCCACTGTAAAAGGCTCGCACGCATTCAATAACCTCTTCGATCATGAAGTATAGCGTGTTCTGCGCATGCCCGCAGAGGGTATCAAAGACGCCGAATCTTTTATTCTCTAACCCTTTTTTTTACTTACATGTAGGAGTAGAAAGCTTTGCCATGATCACCAAGCATTCTCCCATAATCCTGTAAGCACGGGCATGAAACTCATTTCAGCTCCGGGGTCGGCAGGATGCGGTGATAAAACCGTGGGCAAGAAGAAAAAGGCTGCTCATATAGCTGGCGAGAGGAGGTAGAGATGCATTACTAATCTTTCAGCAATATTTAAGCTGGAAATTGGTACAAGGGAAAAAGTGAACACGGACTATTGTTTTCTTTATTTATCCGTTTAATATTTGAGCAAGCTAGCTTTTGTTGACGGCCATGAGGCTGCTGACCATAAATAAGAGTTTCATCTATTCAAAGACTTTTGCATTTTGGCAATAAGTACAGGAAACTCGGTGAAGTTGGTTAAAGGAGGTGGTAGAGGTTCATCCTGATTCATCAACTTTGTGAAAACCGCCCCATTTACTTTATCTTCATCTGTTTTCATGTTTATTTTTTCCCTTATGCATAAAATGCAACTCAAAGCAGAGCAACATGGAAGCATGTGGAAAGTCTAACTGCACAAATAATTTCTATATAAGAATTAAGCTCCGTCAGATGTAAAGCGTGACATCTTGCTATAATATCTGAGATAGTTCATAATTAGCACTAATGCGATCACACCTCAAGCTATTAGGTTGGTCCGAAAGTTCGTTCGCACCATTTTCAAAAAATCATAACTTCCTTCCCTCACAATGATTTTGCGCAACTCAAATTTTATTAGAAAGCGTAAAGCATGTAGTTTCCAATAGTCCCCCGGCGACTCTCCAGCATGCTCAGATTGCAGAGACAAAAATGAAAGAACGAAAACATCCGAAATAGGGAATTTTTGAGAAACAATTCCAAAAACCTGGAAACTGCGCGATAAAATCCAGAAAAGCCATTATCCTAATTTTTCTTATATTTGATTATTAACTGAGTTGAGTTTGTGCTGATCGAGCTCTTCTTTTAAAAGTTATGATTTTTTGAAAAAAAATTCCGAAAAATCAATTTCTTAGGGATTCTTAGGAAAGTGATTTTTCGGAATTTTTTTCAAAAAATCATAAGTTTTGAAAGAAGAGCTCGATCAGCACAAACTCAACTCAGTTAATAATCAAATATAAGAAAAATTAGGATAATGGCTTTTCTGGATTTTATCGCGCAGTTTCCAGATTTTTGGAATTGTTTCTCAAAAATTCCGAATTTCGGATGTTTTCGTTCTTTCATTTTTATCTCTGCAATCTGAACATGCTGGAAAGTCGCCAGGGGACTATTGAAAATTACATGCTTTACGCTTTTTAATAAAATTTGAGTTGCACAAAATCATTGTGAGGGAAGGAAGTTATGATTTTTTGAAAATGGTGCGAACGAACTTTCGGACCAACCTAATATATTATACATATGACTACCGAAAAATAATCAAAAATGAACATGAAAACAGATGCCGCATAAGAAGCTGCAAAAGAATTTCCTTCAGAGTTTTTTCACCCAAAAATTTGTTAAAGTAAGAGTTAAGACTTGACGTCGCGACGCGGCGTAAACGACCACTTTGAAGTATAACGCCACGCTGCCATATAACAGTGCGCATAGTTCTAAATTCAGGTAGATCAAAACAGGATGCTAAGCGATGAGAAAAGAATGAGAAGGACGATATGCTGGCAACAGTACACGTCTGCGCGGACTGTTGGCATCTAGCACAATGTATAATGATGCACCTCTGTAACAGATGTCCGCCCGGCGAGGCCTATTGCCACATATCGTCCTCTACCTGCAGAGAATTTTTTAACTCTCACAAACCAACCTCTCCATTTTTACGTCCTGTGCACCAACCCAATGAGTCGGCATCGCTTAAGACTTCGATAGTTTCACCTAAATAACATTATAAAACGAGTATGAGAAAAAAATGGATATAAATCTGAGGCCAACCAAGTCTCACCCTTCTGCAATGGTATCTCATCATTTTCTACTGGACTGTAATCATACAGCACAGTTGCCATGGATTTTGTGTGAAGTTCTTCAAAGTCACCGTATTTTGCTGAGTCAGGTGTTGTGGTTGATAGAGGTGGCGAATCTGGAGAAGCTAGAGAGAAGTAGTCTATAGCATTACCCCTCATTGGAGGCAGCCTCCAAACAAATCTGAAGGCCTGGTTCTTGGTTGGAAACCGTCTGGAAACCTTTAACTGAGCCACTGTTCAAGCAGCAGCGCAAGTAATACACTTATAGTCGAGAAAGTCAACTCTGGGCTCCAATCCAGATCGTACCGACGCTGATGATCCCGTGGAAGAAGTACGGTGTGGGCAGGAGTTCAGCAATACATTTTTAGACCACAAATGAAGTATATAAGCCGATGCTTGGGTGGTGGCTCAACTAAACCTCCCAATCAGTATCTATAGGGTCCAAGTACCCAGATTTACCTGGACATTGCATTTGTTTTAAGCGAAGAAAATCAAATCATCATTGTACCTCGATTCTCCCAATGTCTGTCAGGTGCTTGATGATCTTGAGACACCTTGTCCTTGTGTATAGTATTTTTACGACTATCAAATGTGTTAGTATCCGAATCACTACTCTGAAACGAAAAAATTTTATTGAGTAACAGCTAGAACGAAATCTAATTACTTTACCTTTCCATTATCACTATAAGTGGCAGATGTGGCAGTGGCAGTAGCTGGGCCGGGCACATCATCAGATTTTATTATTTGCTTGGTTAATACAACAGAGTTAGAATTGTTATGAGTGGCTCTTGTTGCGATTGTTCGTATCTGCTCGGTGTACTCCTGAAAAAAGAGAAGTAAGGCACATTTATCCCCCCGTTTTCCGAATAATGGATGTTAAATAGAATTTTTCTTCGAAAACTCAAAAAGTAAGCAGAATTTGAGAAATTTCAAAAAGAAAGTCCTTACCTCAAAAGCTGGCCATTCGGTATGCGCATCCTTGCCATTGACCGATGACCAGTTTTGTATATCTGCCATCAGAGCATTTTCATCACAAGTTCGCAACGCCTCTTCGAGGTTTGTGTGTAGTTGAGCAAGTCTTGAAAACAAAAATATTAAAAGGAATGCGCCTTGGTGATATATAGATTTTCGAAGAATATAAAGCTATAATGATATTTTCCCGCAGATAGTTTTGTGAGAGGAAAAATGATCACAACAAAGGACCTGATTCCGGCCATAAAGCCCATGCTCTTCAGATATCGGGTTACTGGGGTTCCCATATGAACACTTATTAGGAAGTCTTAGCTACATTGCTCAAGCGACAGCTCAAATTCATTCTTGGAAGAGAAACTAGTCTCTGAAAGCAGCAGATCAATCAGCGCACACCAATCACTTATTGGTGCGGTAGGAAATAGTGAATTTTGATTGTGAAATTAGAGCCCCAAAGAGAATGAATCATCGAGGATCAGAACCATGATTTAGCGCCTGCTCTTTCTACGCAAGGAGTAGAGGATACTTCAATCTCAAGCTCTACAAAAACTCATGTATAAAAGACTTCTCAGTATATTGCAGAGGTACCTCATAGCGAGATTATGAATTCGCCGAAAGAGCAAAAGCAATTTTTTTTCAATACTTTTGTGATATCGGCATCGTACGCATCCAATCCATCACGTTCGCTTTAGGTACAAGAAATGAAACAACAAGACACAGTTTTGAAAAGTCAACCCCCTGCCCTTCACCTTTTTTCTGACAATTGCAAGATGACTATTATATTCTCTCAACTTGTTTCAAATTCTTAACCTATAGAGAAGCCACAGGCCATCGCATTGTGTTGCGAGACAAAAGACTCGTGAAAAAAACGGATGATAGAAACAAAAAAGGAAACCAGAGAAAAAGTTAGGGGAGTTTAATCGCGGTGTCAAACAATAAATGGTTTTTCTTAGAATTCGAACTACAATCTTATTTGCGACTGACCAGATATCCATTGTCATAGCGACATCTACAAATCTAATCACGGCGGACGACCCCATGAATTGCGCATATTGGTAAAAGGCTTTTTTTTTGGAGATAGGCTTAGCACATGAGGAATGAGATCACAATTAGGTGAGTTGGTGAGAAATGTTGAAAAAATTATTGAACATGTAACAGATAAAAACCATGCAGAGAAAAGAAAAAAGCAGAAAAGATTTTCCGTGCTGTAATAAACGCAGGTCGAAATTCGTAACTCCCTCGCTGAGATAGATAATATTGTTGCGAAGTTCCTGGGCAAAGAAACTATCTATTCATAATGAAGTGGAAGCAAAAACCATTTTCTTTGCGCAACCACGATGCTTTAAATCCTCTATTATGCTAATAAGATGCTTCAGCAAAGTTCAGCCAATTTTGTACAAGAACGAAACAAGACTTCACTCACTTATTGTTTCTAGTTAGATCGACAAGCACTTGTTGTGTGGCGCAAACCATTTCCACAAAGAATCTGCTTCGTTTCATTTCCATTGCCTGGCACTTTTCGAATTCGAACGTCATGTCTTCTATGTATGGAGCCCTAAAACATCTCTCACTTTGCAGTCAGATAACAGCCTGTCGTCAAACTTTACGAATTATTTGCTCAGAGAAGCAATCTGGAATTGTGACTATTGCGTTACGACTGTCCATGTTTTCAATGTTTACAATGACAAATAATCAAAGATTGCAAGTGAACATTTATTGGAGGAGCAAAAAATGGAAAAACTGCTCGTGTCTGTTTGCTAACATAAAACCCTGAGCCCTTTTTTCTAGCAATCTTGCACAAAAGGAAATATATTTGCAGCATATCCAACTTGCACACATTTGGTGTGCCTGCATTATTTTTATGACATCATTTGTGTAGGAAGGAATTAGTCAGAACCTCCATTAGTATTTCCTTCACCATCGTCAAGACGCTCTCCTGAGGCTCATGTTTTTAGAGGAAACAAAAACTGGAAAAGCCAAATATTGTGACTAAGAAATCATGAAATGAATACTGTTAGCAACATATCATCTCATGATGTGATCTTTGTCAAAAGAAATGGCGCATCCGGATCCGGACACAAATAAATCTAATCTTCTGAACAGATTCTTTTCTTTATGACTGACAGCGTGCGACAACATTTTTTGAAATCTATCCATCTGTTTCTTGCTCACTTACGCTTAAAAGAATTATCAACCTCTGTTTATAATAAAGGAAATAAGTCAAAGAATCAATGTTAACAGATGAAGAAGCAACTCTACGCTTTCGCCGACCAAAATAATCGCGTGCAAAAACTTTGGCTTTTGTGCAAAACTCATTTTGAATGTTAGAAAAAAAAGGAGATGCAAATTTGACAATACCGGTTTCAAATGGGTGAGAACTACTCACAGAAGGGTTTGCCAGAACATAGCAAACAGTAGACTCAGAGAAATTCTATAGAGTAGACATTTTGCACGTTAAAAAGAGGAAACTGGACATGCAGATTAGAATTTGGAAGAGAAAAAGAGAGACAGATTTATACGAAAAAATGTGCTCATAACCATAAGCACGTCAAAACTAAAAAAAACTGCCTGAGGCTGAGTCAACTTTGACAAGACAATATGAATTTAAATAAACACCCGGTGATTTTGTAATGGCACAACCTAAGATAAGCCAAGTTTTCAGTATGACCATCACTAATCTAAAATAAATAACACATTCTGGAAGTGACTACCCTTTCATCTATAAGGATTCCCTATTTTTATCCTGATTAAGAAAAACTTGGAAATTTGGAAAGCTCCTCTCTGGAGTAACTCAATCCTCTGTTGGTTTAGCATGGTCAGAAAATTTTTCCTTTTGAGAATGTCTCTAGCCAACATTTCCTCGTTTTGTAGAAAGAAAAAGTAGGTCAAGAATATCTTGGAAGTGTGGTTTGAAACATGAATGACTGGTCAACGTAAACTCTTTTGTGCTTCTAATAAAAAGTGTGATCTTTATGAAGAGCTATATTCCATGAGCTTCGAAGAATGTCTGAAGAATGAACTATCTCTTGTTCAGCTTCTGCTTTGCCATTGCAGGCATATAGGCAATTCTTTATTATTCTTTGCTTTTTATTTTGAAGGAAGTGAACTTATAAATCATTTTATCAATCGAAAACAAAAACATTGAATTTCTTGTGTTCATATCTATTTTTTATCATTTTTATTAAATGCTTTTTCTTACTAAAACACAAAATTTGTCTTAATATAATCTTTGTTCATAATTAAGTAGACTCATGATCTACTAATTAGTATGGCGTGAAAGTTGCGTTTATAAAAGGCATGCATGCTCACCTGTATTGTGTAATTTCTGCTATGTTCTTTTCATAAGCACTTCTACATTTCTGTACATCATCCCGACATTTATCTAGACGGTCGCGAAGTTTTTGCGCTCCGTCTTGAGACACCGAGGAGTCCGCCTGAAACTAACATCACATCGGGCTATTGTCGTTCGATTTAAAAGCCAAAGAGCATTACTTGGCTATTTGTCAAGTTGACCAGAGCGGATTTTTCTTGGCGGCATGCAGTATAGTAAGCTTTCTTGCTGGATTCCAGTTTCTCGTAGAGTTTTTTCCATTTTCGCTGAGCCTAAAAAAGTAAGTAAAGCGAGTAAAGGCTGCGCTGACTTACAGTCTAGTCATTTCGTATGATCATATGTGCCACTGCACACTTTGTCTGTCTTTGCCGTCTTCATTTTGGATTTTTGGAGCAGACACCCCTCCAGGTAAATGTTTCCAATGTATTCTTTATGTCGTCTTCGCTTTTTCGGTAGCAATCTAATCAAAGTGAGTAGGCGGTAAGAATCGGTCGGCCTGTTGCGTTTTTGTGACCAGATGTCCAGAACAGGACGACAAAGAGCGCGTTGTGTGCAGTGACACATATGATCATACGGGATGACTGGACTGTACAGAAAATGACAAGTGTGACAGGTTTTTATAGTTCTTTGCAATTTTGCAGAACTTGTTTGCTGCTAGCAACAAAGAATATTTCTTGCACCTTGACCACCAGCGATTTGAACTCTACGACCCCGTCTCAAAAGCGGGCCATGTCCGTTCGAGAGATGGTACTAGAAAGTGGTGGACGCGGCGATGCTTATCCCGAACTCAAACACGAGGTAAGCCAATGCGACTCGTAAAGCGCTCGCATCAGCAAACATTGCGACCGAAACAGTGGTCAACAGCAAGCGCGAACGAGCGCTACGGAGCCACCCGAAGTGACGAAGAAGCTGAAAACACAAGGCGATGCTCGCGCCCCAGTCCGGTCAGACGACCCAAGTTCACCAGGACGAGAAAAAAATTGTCGAAATCTGAGAACGCCGCGAAAGTTCAGAGTTCAAAGGATAGTGCCGACAAAGAAGATGCATTCAAATTCACAAAGAGAATGAGGAAAGAGAAAGAAACGAGTCGAAGGCTCAACGACGGATTTAGCAGAGGCAGCTTGTGAACGGACCAATCAGCGCCGTTGAGTACGGTAGAAAGTACGGTATGGGTTGGAGCTCAGAGCTGGATTTCCGCGCTTCGAATGAATCTCATAATCTGCTACTTGGGCAATAGCACAACTGAAAACTGTGCACATCAATTTCAGTTCTTATGTTAAAACCCAGGTTCCACATGATACCCAGGTAAACAAACTTGCTTGAACATTACCTTTAAGATCATTTACCACAATTACTACGATGAAACGTAATGATATCGCTAATTATACTATTTTTGCTGATATATTGGTCATATTACATTTTGATCTATCGTAAACTTGCTGCTTTCATTTACTATGTTGTTATTTTGACATAGAAGATCCTATGGCAAAAAGAAATGATTTCAGAGGGTGATTGTTTGCTACAATAAATTCAACCAGCTTCCTACTAGAAAAAGGAGTTATTCTCCAATGTCGTATAGGTTTTGGATCCCTCGGAAAATAACTTTTGAAACTAATTTTCCAAGAGATCTCGAAAAACCTCAAAAAGCACTTTCTCTGAGCTAATCCTTAGCCAAAATCCGCGAACGCTCACACAGCCGCAAAATTAAGTCTTTTGAAAATTCCCGCTGAAAAATAAACTCGTCCAAATAGCGCTTAAGCTGACTGCCTCCACAGGCATCTTAATTAGAGAAAGTTTGCTTTTGCCAAATTCATGAGAAACTGGACGAAACTCCAGTTCTGGCAGATTGCCATAAAAGTGCTAATTTCGAACACTTGAGCAAGAAAAAAAAACCATCAAAGCAGCCAGTTGTTAAATGGCTATGTATGCCCAATTAAATAGACGATTAAAGTCTTAGGAACTACCCCTTTGAGTGAAAAACGAAAAAACAAAGGTTTTAGAAAGAATGCCAAGGTGATGTTTGCCCTAACAGTTGAAACCTACCTCCCCCCCCCCCCCTCCCGTAAGGTATCAGTACCAACTTTTCGAAGTATGCTCCAGAACTAAGTTGTTTACGAACCAGCAAGACTACTAAGCTACCCGGCTCGGTTCCCCAATACCAGCCTCTCTTGTTTGTTGAGCGAGCCTAGTAAATTCCGGTCTTCCAGCAGAGTTTAACCCCACTCGCCATTTCACAGGTCAAGGAAGCCCTTCGTAATCAACGGTGAATTACATTGTTCTCCTTTAGCCGTAAATGTAAATATAAATATTAGCAGGTTTCTCAAGAGCCCGTTTCATCTTAGGCGCAGCGGTAAGAGCGTTCATAAGTGGTTGCGTGCTACAGATCCACTACCAATATTGTGGACATTCGCGCAAACTGTCGATGAGCGCGAAGATGAAAAAATTTGAAAAAAACGTGGCGCTGTTCACAGTCCTCTCTGCGAACGCTCTTGAGAGTGCATTAGAGAACCGAGGGCAAGAATAAATATTTCCTGGATAAACAGGAATGCGCCACAACAACGTGTTAGTGTTCGAAATGGAGGAAACATGTTTCGAGAGATGCCTCTTGAAATACAAGCTACAGGTCTTCGACATCATTCCACCAAAAGATGCCGAACACAATTTGCGTATTTGTTTGCCCTTAATAGATCCGTATGTGCGCTCGAACTTCAATAAGAACACTGAAGAGCAGGCGGCAAAGTTTGAGAGAAGATATCGATAGAATAAGAGTACGAAAATCTAGAATAACTCAGAAGAATTACTAATAAGTAGCAGAATTCGCGGTTCAGGACATTATAGAACAACTGATGAGACTCACTGAAAACTCACCCTTTCAAAGCCTTCTTCTGCTTCACGGATTTCTTTTGGCGCACGAAACGCTGATGGATGGTAATTCTCCTTCCGGTATAATGCTAGTGTTTTGAGGACCTAAATCGCGTAATTACACAAAAATGCAAGCATTTACAGTAAACTCTTAGATAGCAAATTACCTCTTCCATCAGTCGATCCTTTACCCGGTTATGCTGGACCGAGATGGCTTCGGCTTCCTCTAGCACGCCTAGCCAAGCTTTCTGGAAAATGAGCGCTTTTGTCTGATTTTTTGCTACTCTAATTGCAGGTATTTTTACATCTACTTCTGCAGCAGTAGAAACTAGCCAATATAATTTATTCGCAGCTGCCTGTTTTATCTCATTTTTTAAATTCTACCAGAAAAAAATACGAAAGCTTCATATTATATAATCCCATTCTAACCTTGATGCATCCAGACTGGACAGCTCTATCAACATGAGCTTTCCATTTCTCAGCAAATTGTTGCATTGTCTTTCCGTATTTCGCTTCGATGTCAGCTCTCTCCCGAGCCATTTTGGTGAAATCGTCCAGCTCGTCGATTCCATCCTTTAGATATTAAAAATTGATGAGAAAATGACGAGGAAGGGAGCCTAAGGCAGGAAAAAAGTACCCAGTGTTCTACAGTTGTAGTTACATAAATTTCTTATAAAAGGTACACAAACTATTGGAGAAATATGAAATTTGAAGCCTATTGTTAAAATTATGTAGTCTGATCTACTAACTGCGTAGTTAACTCTTTGTATCCAGAGTGCCCACAAAAAGGCGAAAATCTTGGTTTCAAAAAAAAAAATCTTCTTACAAGGGAAGGATACTTGGTCGAAGTGGCGTTCCCAGGAGAAATGTAAGATGTTTTATAGAGCATGGAACGCTAATTCCGAATCTGCTTTCGGTATCTGCAAAGCGCTTTTGGGATGGGAGTTCTAACAGTTTTTTAAGGCAAAATCTTAAAGTTTTGGTTAAGGTCAAAACGAGTGTTCAGGTCTCTCGGCACTTGAATGGAGCAACAACTAGCTCAAATTTATTGTAGTGAAGGTATTAACTGTACGAAGCACCCTAGCAGTAATCATGATCCCCTCCAAGCTCACAGACTACAGTTTTAGAAGATTTTATTGTAGCCGCGTCTCGAAATTTTTGCGTTAAACATTTCCGTAGCTCCGCTCTCAAAAGCGCTTTGCAGATATCGAAAGCAGATTCGGAATTAGCATTCCACGCTCTATAAGATAGTATACATTTCCCGTGGAAACGCCACTTCGACCAAGCATCCTTCCCTTGTTAGACGAAAATCACGCTTTTACTTTCATCTCCAAAACCGCTATAGCATTTGCTAAACAAACTTTTTTCATGAAAAGTTTTGTGAAAATATCATGCCAGACAACCTCGAATCCCACTACCTAAAGAAGAGTTCAATGTGTTCAAAAGGTCAAGGGCAGCCTCATTCCTATGTAAACTTTTTTTTGCTTTTATTAGCATGGGCAGCGCACATCTATCATATGTCCTATACAAGGTAAACATTACGCAACAGTCCGTAAGTCATACAAGACATGAGAAATGCTAGATAGAGAGCTATTTGATGACTAGTTCACCTTTATTCTCCGCACATTGTTCTTGTACGCTCCGATCTCCCAAAATCCTGGTGCCAACACGTCGGCGGCCATACTAAAAATATATTTAAAGCAAAGTGATTAGGAAGGAGACGAGTTTGAGTGAAAAGGAGAGCGAGCAGTGTCGGTGAACGAAGATGTGGGCACAGCCTAATATCATTAGAAGCGAGGTAAAGAAAAAAAAAACTGAGAAGGACAATAACGAAGGAGGTCGCAGAAAGCAAAAAGAAACCGAATAAACGAATGGCGACTACAAGAGCAGCGGAAAGTGCAGAAACCAGCAGAAATAATCGAATATCGATATGTGATGCTGTTTGTACATATTGTTATGCTAAGAAGGTGAACAGAACACACACACACATTCATTCCGTACGTACAAATGACATCTTCACGGATTTCTCTACGTGAATGCGAAACGTGCTCGGCAATGAGGAGAGGGGGGAACGAGTTCTCATCGTTCGAACGCCATTGCGTTGCTAACATTCATTCATTCATCGCAATCAAGCAAGCCACAATTAGTTTTCGAAAACACCTTCGATGACGATGCATTTTCTGTCAAATGAGGTGTTCCCGGCATTTTGGCACTCGATCCGTGCCTGTTGAGGTTGTGAAATTCAAGCCCAACCGAGGAAAATAGACGAAAAGGCATTGTTGGTGATGGTGACGGAAGAGGACAGACAAACCGGAACTGTCATTGCAACACACAGGACGGACAATTAGCCGTGTGAGTGAAGACGAACGATGAACACGATGAATGTGACTTTCACCAACGATTCTTACATTCAAGGTGAGGTAAGGGGTGAGGTGTTGTGACCGCGAAGACAGAAATGAGCAACTTGTAAAAGATAGCAAAAAATATCTTTAGAGTTAGATGACAAAGTGATAAAATGTGGCACTTTCGAACAACGCTTCTTACCGTGTGTCATGTTCAATGTAAATATTTCGAATAAGAAAAAGTGGATAAAACTGCGTTAAGACGTTGTATGTACATATTTGAATCTGGCGACATAATCGCATTGTAAAAATGATTCATAGGGTGGAGAGGGAGATAGATGTGCTTGGACGAACGGTCTCACGTCGTGTATTAAACGGGCCGCTTGGTGATTTTTCATTATCATGCATAGTCGGGGCTGTAGGAACGCATAGAAAAAGGCGTGCGTCAATTCAAATCGGTATTGCACACCATGCGCGCTAACTGACGACTTTAAGATTGAAATCTGCTCTTTTTAAGCGATTTCTCCCTTTTGCATGTCTCTTTTGATTGAATTGGATATGCATTAGTTGGTAATCCACATTTTCTACAGTTTTTAATGCTAGAAAAGGCTCTATGGAGGAGTTACCAGTGAAAGAGTCGTCATTTGCCTCGCATAGTGTGCAGACTCACATATTGAGTTGAGAATGACTCAAGATAGTTGTAGAGAAGCGATGGGAGTTGGAAAAGCATGTAAAATCTTTGAAAAACCGTAAGAAATAAAATTCTTAATTTCCCCGCGCAAAAAAAAACACGAATCGCGCTGCGACGTCTATATTGCCAAGAAGCCGCGTCCACTACGATTCACGGTCACGGCAACGCCATCGCCGTCGCCACACCGCTTTAAGAATCACGTAAGAAGTCGAGTGCTCCGCCTTTAAACGGGTTCAGTGAATCGCACTAAGTAGGTGCGAAGTGAAGAGCGCGACTGAGCAGGTCAGCCGCGATTCATGCAGATGGTTGACTCATTCGCCATGACAAGAAAAAAAAGGAGATTCTAATAGAACATGCATGTGTTCAAACTGTGGGGCCCCATAAAAACCCGTTGAAAACCTGCATACACAACAACGTTGCAGCCAATCGAAGGTACACCCGACAACATATGCGAGTCAAAAAGCAAAACGATTGCCTTATTGCTCGTTTGGTTAGGAAAATCTATACACGTGTAAAAAGGTGAGGAATTACGCGGCTTATTGGTGATCGGCTTAATCGTTGCCAGAAAAACTAGGCGACTAGTCCTAAACACTAAGTGTTCGACAGATGACTATAGTCATTCGCGTTAAATGTTTCGTTTGCAATTCGCTTTCATAAAAGGCGCAAATATGTGGCGAAAACTTACTCCTACAATTCATAATAGTAACTAGACCGTGGAAAACGCAATTTTCAAGCACTTTAGCACGAATATTTGCTATTCACCTTCGCAAACGTTAACGGATACGATGAAGTCAAAGCATGGAGTTTCTTGGTTGAAAAATCATCTCATCTGCAATGCTTGAAAATGAATATTGAAAGAAAAGTGTCGTGCTACAGTGGCCTATGCTATCGCCAACCCATGGCTTGAGTTGTTTTGACCATCAGAAAACAAAATTTGAAATAAAACTAAGCTTTTACCATCGCTATTTGCCTACTACGGGAAGCGTTTAGACTGGTTGGCTCACAGACCATCATATAAATAGAAAAGAACCGTTCTTCAAACCTTCATACTAACTCTTAAGTAGAGAGTGCTACAGGATGAATAATACAAGCCTACAACATCTCAGAGTGTAGATGATAAGATGGCAAGAAACTACAATTCCTTAAGTTAACAAAACCAAAAAACCAACAAAAAGCGACATCAAAATGACAAACATTTCAATTTTATACGGTCAAAGACATGATTTAACAAATGACGAATTGAAAAGGAATTCGGAAGCGATAACATCTGATGTCGGGCGAAAAGCTCAATGGAAAGGAAATGAAACTAAGATTGCAAGCAAAAAGCATGCTTTAAGAGTAGCACTAGAATTTCCAGATTCTATGTTGGAAGCCTAGTCTCCGTTGATCATGGTCTTGTTGGAAAGGCTCGAGGGAGAACCGATACAGTGGGAGGGGTGAAGAAAAAACTAGCAAAGAACCACACGGAACTCAATAGAAATCAGAGACGTGCGCATTAACTGGGGAGGGGTAAGAAGATGAACGGAGAGCGGGGGGGGGGGGGACGGGGGTTGGGTGTCACCTTTACATGGTCAGCGGTGCGAGTGCAGATGTCAAACAGGGCACAGACGAGAAACAAAAGCAATGTTAATCCGTACGTCGTACAAATCGTGCTGCGTCGTTCAGTTTCGGTTTGGGGAGGTGTGGGTAGAGCGCGATGGGCGTGTCGCGAGACTGATCAGAAGTGGGAAGAAGTGAGAGAATCGCGCTTGCAGGTGCGATGGATGAAAAGAAATATCGGTGAGAATGGCAATGGAAGCTAGTTGGAAGAACAAAGCAATTTCACGTCATGCTAAAGGAAAATGAGATCCAGAACATATTCATAGCTAGAAATTGCGAATCTTCACAGGAAAAGCACACTCGGAATGAAATCTGAGAAGCAAGCAATGTCACCAAAGAAAAGCATTTCCGGCACTTACACGTGTGTCTTCTCTAGAGCACTACAAACTCACTCACTAACTAGTTTTCACTACTTCTACACACACTGAGTATCTACACCGCTTACCGGTCTGGCCAACACATCGAAATCGCCTATGCAGATTTATGTAGCGTCTGAGAAAACTCGGACGAAAAACGACACGGCAACAATGCGTTCGAACGAGACGTGCGCAGACGTATGGTGTGTTGCGATGGGCTCCGTACTGAAAACTCTTTCATAGAGCAGTAAAATTAACATTGAATCATTGTTGTTAGAGAGATGGATGACGGATATATGCATGCATACGATCACATGCACTCACTGCTTGAGAATTCTTAGCAAAATTTGATTTGTTATTTTGATGGGATAGGCTAGAAGATATTGACACATGCACAAGAACTTGAAAATGAGCCAGAGTACGCATTATTGCATTTATCATGATTTTTCTGTGGATAACAAATTCAAAGTATCGGCTGTGTAACTACGGAAATGTTCCAAAAGTGTAGGAATGTTATATAACCTTTTCTAGCACTGTTTCTAATAAAACCATCCAGAAGATAGTGCCAAAAATCTTGACGATAAGAGAAAAGTGGAAAAGTAACAAAAAAGTCTACGAAGAAATTGAAGGAAATACCGAATATATGGCTATAATGCTAGCAAAGTAATGGGTTTTTCTTCACAAGTCTTCCTCCGAAAAATACAAAATTTGTTTGGAAATTTATGGAGAAGCGATTTAAAATCATACTATTGTCACTTTTAACAAACGTTCGACTTCCTAATGCACCAAATTTTCATAAGAAAATTGAGGTAACGATATAAGAAAAGCAAATCATAAGTCCCCCCTCACACATCCGATCAGCAAGACTTTCTCTCAACCAAGAAATGTTGTATCATAAAATCACATTCAGAGTAAAACACAATTTTATCGGTCCTTGCATTTTTAGCGACAAAAATTGGAAAAAATACAGCTTGACTGTTTCTATTTTCAGCTAATATCTCCGTTATGTTTATATTTTTGGTCTGGAGCATGTTTGAAAAGCTGTGACTTCCTCCTTTGGGGTACTAAAGATGAATCCTTTTGGACCAGAAAGAAAAGAAAAGAAAACGTTCTAAGAGTTTTGATGCAAGATAGGTATTGACCCAATAGCACGGACTACTACGGTATTTGAAAATTTCTTCAAAACTGCAAAATAAAAATATGAACTCCCATAACAGTTCCGAACATTGACAGTAGCATGTAATGACTGGTTGCTATAGTTTCTCCAATGAGCCAGTTCCGTTTTCCATCAAACTTCTCTTTTCCGATTGAATTGATGGAGCTGCGCTTTTTTTCATGCAGAAGTGCTCGAAGGCCGCAGAAAAATGTGCTATCGAATGAAATTTCTTATATGCGGACAGATATAGACAGACTGATGAGTGAAGCAATCACAGATTGTCGCTTAACCCGTACTCTTCTTTTTTTTTCTCAAAATACATATCATATTAGTCATCGCGAGAAGCATTCTTTGAGACATTTCAAAGGTGTGGCGTTTCTTGAATGACGGCTGACTGATAACAATATTTTCAAGCATTTTAAATGGCAGGCACAAAAGAATGAATGATTTGAAAACATTCTATCTCGAAGTAAATTAAATGCAGAGGACCGTGCGGCAAATCGCACATTCATTCAGTTTTTATATGGTGGAAATGGATGAGATGAATATGTGGACGAATTGGTAATTACCAGTGGAGAAACTCTGGGGCAAACGGAAATTTTTAAGGCATATTTGGGGAACGACTCCAGAACTACACAACCAAAAAGAAGCACTTTGACAACCAAAAAACCTCATCTTACACAACCTGTACAGTTCAGAGAGTGTAACTATTGGCTTCAGCTTGTTTTTCGCTACAAAGAATATTTTTACAGATTTTATGAGACTACTGAAAATACAGTAAATAGGGTATGCTATACGGCAGCGGCGACTTCCATGAGATGACTGATTTATAGTACTATGTCAAAAAACTTTCATTCTTCTTAAATTTCTTTGAGGACAACAAATACAGTCGAAGTTGCAGAATTTGAAGCACTCCAAAAAATAAATACCGATACCCATTCCCTGTTCAATATTAGTGTTAGAAATGCATTGCTTAGAAGGCACATCAAAGAAAGAGTATCCCTTTTTTCATATGCAACTTCAGTTATCTAGATGCGATTCCATGAATAGCATTTCCCATTTACATAAGTTGAAGATATTAAGACATGCTTTAGCGAACTATCTGGATAGAACCAAAAACGACCAAAAAATACCGCAAATCTTCTCTCTAGGGCCAATGATATCAAATCCTCTGCAGAAGCCTAAAGTATTTTGGGACACCGTCCAGCTTACCAGCTTCCCGCAGAACTGATATTATGCCAGGTTTTTTTCTCTTTCTGCTGGTCTTCGTTCATTTTTATTGTGTCTTTCCAATTTCCATGTGCTCCTCATTTTCTGCAGTAATTTTCTATGGAAAGATGGAAGATGTGTCCGCATGCTTTATGGCTTAGGAAGAGCCCCGCGAACTAGGTGGAAGAAATGGCAAAAGAATTGGCTAACCTGAGTTCAAAAATCCTTCAGAAAAATGAGGTACATGTGTGATGTTCACCTAATGTTCACCTCCAAAAAACCTACCACTAAAGGTTTAGAGGAGTATAAAGTAGCTGTTTAAGGTTTCTTTGATGAGACAAGAGCAAAAGCAATGTAAGAAGTAATCAGCAGTAAATAAAGTCGAGTAATTAGACTTCGTAGCTGATGTGTGCAATTCCACAACAAGATGCTGGAGACGAACGGATTTTCTACGGCAAGAAGTGCATAAGATGTAATCAGTCAAACTTCTCAAGAACTATCGTGTCCAACCAACGGAGGAAACATGAAGAGATTTAAGAAAAACAGTTTTCGGACCTTTGGCCAATCCCATCCTGGAATATGTGCTTTTGAACACATAAAAATTGCTTAAATGTAAATAGTTTCCTCATGCGACAACCTAGTAGATCATAACTTGGCGAAGCGCCAATGATGAACAGAACGAGTTCCGAATAATCGCATCGCTCACTTGCGATGCGCGGACTCTTTTGAAAATCCCCGCAACGGCCGATCGGTACCCAATCGGTCAGCTGGAGAGAAATTCAAATTTGCCGCGTGACTCATAAGGACAGCGGCGAATTGTACGACAGATCAGCGTCGGAAGGGACAGCGGTGGAAAACAAGTGGCAAGTACGCCGCCGTATCAGGATGGAAATCGCAATTCATTCGAAATTATGTGAATACTTGATAAGATGTCTTATCACAATGTATAGTCTGTAAAGAAACGTTAGAGACTTGAAAAACAAGCAATAGGTGTGTCCGTGTCAGAGGCTTGTCACTTCAGTATCCAGATATCATTCGTAATTTGCAAAAATAACGACGCTTTTATGGAGAAAAAAAATTAAGACATAGGAATAATCTTTAAAACCTGAGAACCTGGACTTCCTATCTGAATACTGATTGGGAAGTCTTATAAGCCAAAGAAAAAGTAACACTACAGAAAATTTACTCGTGGCCGAAAAATCCCGCTTCAAACTCTCGGCCATACCGTAACCTTCTCACGAGGATTGCGATAGAAACTATGGTCTGGACTAGAGCTGAAGTTAAATTACTTGGTCTCGAATGAATCATATAAGTTGTCACTGGCCTATGGCTTACTTCAGGAATCTCTTCAGTTTCCACATAAGAAATATAGGTTTCTCAAATTTGCAAATTAAGAAGAACAAGCCACACTCTTATTTGCAACCGCAATACAAGGAGCTTTTTGTCAATAATGCCTCTAATTTATGCGAGTCTATAAGCTCAAAAACATTTCTCGCATAGAAGTGAAGGAGGCTTGAGATCCTTGCACGAAACCTTTACGAACCGTAGAAAAAGAAGAACCTCAAACTGAGAACAAAGAGCGTCTCGTCTTCCAGAAACATGAACAATCGTATTGAGCTGTGAATCCTTGGATGCATAGCACTGCTAAGAGAAACTGCACATGATGATGCATTTACTCAACTACGATGAGCTCGCTGTAAATTGAATTACCACCCTAAAAAAGTTCTGTGAAAGTCCTCAATACTAAGCGAACAAGTCAAAGATGCACTTCAGTGAACTGGATGGAGCTAGACTATGCTGAAGAATAACGAAGCGGAAGAAAACGCATTGAGTGCCAGTCATCCTCATGGAGAAAAATGATGGCTGAGGTATCAGTTGCTAAGTAGCGGTACCGAAAAATGATTGAGAAAAAGGGAAGCGTCAAGAGTTTTCAGTTTCGCAACGAGCTTGTTAAAAGAGGAGAGGCACATATTGAACTAAAAGAGTTTAGCGAGACAACATCTGTTAATTTACTAGATTTACATTTCATGACCGATTTTCAAGACCATGTTAATACGCTCATTGTCCACCATAATCTACGTGTTTCTATTCAGAGTGCGAAAAATCTCAATAAAAAATATGAGGATTCTAAGTTGGCAAAAACGATTTCTACTTCTGGAAAAAATGCGCGGGAGCAGAAGTAGGGTGATCCGACACAGAATCTCATAGCTCGATCGGAGTCTGGCCATACTATTACTGTGTTTGTTTTCCCAAGACACCAGTAAATGTGTGATTTCCATTATCCGTGGAGCGCGAAAATTTCTGACTGTAAAGTGCAAAACTCCAACAATAATTCCAACAACTTAACAGTAATCCCTATTTGATTTCATGGCCTGTTCGAATTCGTACTGACCCTCGAGTATTTATGATTTTCGAAGTTTTTCATTCAAGTTCTCGTCAAATAAAACATCTAATATAGGCATTCGAAAAATCGTGATGATGGTGCGACCGCGCGCGACACGCACGCACCTTCCGGCAACCGCATTTTCTTGGTTTTCGTCTCTTCTCGACTGATTTTCCTGCTTATGATAGTACTTGGACACTGGAAGTAACTGAGCTGAACGTTGAGGTGGTGCCTTTTTGTATAAGGGTGTCATGCTACGCGCAAAGACCGCAGTCAAATCCGTCGTCACGATATTATAAATGAACCTTATGTATTAGGTTGATGCAAAAGGAATGGCCGATTTGCGAATTCTCACTTT